CGCTCCCGTGGGCCCCTGTCCTCCGGCTGTCTCCCCCGGGACTGCGCCAGCCCCCGAGATGCCCTCAGGCGCCGTCACCCCTGTGCTTCATCAGAGGTTCCTGTGGCAGAGAGAGATTCATCACCGCCCACTCCCGGCTCTTCCAGATTCCCACCCGAGTTGAGCGTGGGGCGGATGCTGTCATTTGTCACAGCCGGGGACGAAGAGCTGGCTCCCGCGGTGACTCCCTGCTCCTCCCCGCTCTGTGGGAGGGGGTGCTCCCTCCAGTCCCGGGCAGGGGACGGCACTGCTCACCTGCTTGACGTCGAGCGTGGCCACGTGACTTGCTCCAGCAAATGAAACGTGGAAGTGACACGTCTCGCTTCTGAGCAGAGTCACTGAGTGAGAGCGCTGGTCACGTGAATCCTCACACGTTTGGTTCCAAAGTGGAAAAACGCAGACACGTCCTTAGACGGTCCTTAAAGGAGTCAATCGAATGACAGAAAGGCACGTCACGTGGCTTGTCCCGCGGAGGCGTCTGGACCCGTGTGGGAGCGGGAAGTGTCCTTTCCCCTGTCTGGGCCTCAGTTTCTCTATTTATCGAAGGAAAACAAGGCCTCCGTCCCTGGGGGGCCACGTTGCTCCACAGGCAGATGACTTGGGACAAAGATTCTCCTGTCCCCTGCCCAGTGTCTCGCCAACATTCCGAACGCTCTGCGTGACAGGCCACTGCAGGGTCCTTGCCTGCTCCCCTGAGGAACGGTCTCGTTCTGGGAGTTTCAGGGCGCCCTGGAAACTGAGACCCCCTCAGAGAACTGCAGGGTCGTAGGAGTCGGTGGCTGAGTTTGTGGTCTGGGACGGTCAACGGGAGGAGTCCAGATTTCTGGGAAAGTTGACCTGTGACTAAGTCTCATCCGTAGCTCGGCAGACCGCGCCCCCCCTCCCCCGAGAGAGAGCTGATAGGGACACCGCCTGGCCGGCCTCCAGATCAGCCCCCCTCCCCCGCCCTGCCACCACGCCCGGGGGCCCCAAACCGTCTGCTTTGATTCTGCACATTTTTCCAAACCCGACGTGTGATTCACATCCCAGACCAACTTGTGGGATTTCTGAGCGCTGAGAGCTGAGGAATCCATCTGCGCGCGGGAGGTTCCCCAGCTCCCACCTGTGGGGCAACCCGAAGGGAGTTGGGAAACAGGCATCGTCCTTCCCGTCCCCACTCCCGCCCCCAGGGAAGAACCAAAGCCTGAATAACGCCTGCATTTCAGCTGGCTCACTCACATGGATCTTATTTGATGAGCTCGCAGGACACTCCCAGTCCATGGTATTGCCATTCGTGCGTGACAAAGACCCCTGGTCGTTTCTTCCACTGCTGTCGCTTTCCTTTTCAGAGAGAGAAAATGCCGGCGGGCGTGTGGACGAGACGCCTCCACCCCTTGTCCTAGCCCTGGACACCATCGCCATCTCCCCGTAAGGCGGTCGGCCCCCTGGGGGGCACTCCCGAGGCCACCCTCGTGTTCAGGCAAAGCCGAGAAAGAGAG